AGGACGGGGTAATCCCCGTTTACCCCCGTTTATCCCCGTCGCCTGTGCACATTGGGTTGTACCTATTCAATCTCAAATGTCGCCTTCTTCGGTGTTTTTACTGGAAACAAGGAATTTTTGGTTTACGATTTCTTAAGACCATTGATTTTAAGGTCGGAATGGATTGTATTTGGCCGTCTTTAATGTTGCTCATACAAGGTTAAACATGGTGTGATGGTATTTAAGAAATCTTCGTAATAGCGTAGTAAAGTGTGTAACTTTCCCTACGAGAAATACATGCAGTTCGTTGAATAAAAACGCGAATGCAAGGTTAACCACCGACTAGGGTCGAAAATGTTCGGCCTTTCAATGATTTTTTATAATCCAAACGGTGCCTTTTCGCTAAGGGGAGACTTTGAATAATACATGTGTTTCTGACAATTAGGGTGAAACTACAATATCTAATGCAGTTTATCTGCAAAATAAAGGCAGCTAAGGTCAATGACAATAATTTAGACTACCTCAGTTTTCAGTTTCCCAAGTGGCCCGAAACAAGGCCGTTGAAAAGCCTCCACCCAAAAAAGACGTAAATAGGTCCTTGCACAAATTTTAATATTGCAACAATTCCTATGTTGTCTATTTGAAACGAAAATCCGTTTCAGAACATGAGTTAATATTATTGAGATAGCAAATATATTGTAAATGCATTTACAATGCTTGTCTCTGTCACCACAAGCAATGGTCACACAGATGTTTAAGGAAAACATTTTGTGCGATCATTTATTTCATCGCAACTTTTTCATTTATTTCCATTTTATGCAGTGGCAGTGTACGTTACAGAGGGCGCATGGCTGATAACACTTAATAACCAGTCAGAGAACTACTACAAAGTTCAACAATTTCATTTTCACTGGGGAAGTGACAGTACAACGGGTTCGGAGCACACTGTGGACGACAGGCATTTTCCACTCGAGGTTTGTTTTTATACCTCATAGTTCAATAACATTTCCATTCAGATTTGTCCATCCATATACAATCAAACTACTGCTAAAATGCTTTTATACCTACTGTGTTTCACGAACAGCTTAACGGTTTGATATAATTTCAGTTCCGTATATGGTTTTCAAAGGAAACTTCGTACCGACATATGCAAATTGGTTGTTGTGGTACTGCGCACTCCGAAATGATATAATGTATCATTCTATCCTAAAGTCAAATGTATAGACCTGGTTGAATTGTCTTCAGTTAACCAGAATCATATCCGCCCTGTTTCTCTGCCGGACTCGCGAAGAACTTCTTTTATATTGAAGTTTAGTTGAGACAAGCTGACAGCCATCAATAAGTCAGAAATGGTCATTCCTGGCTTCCCTTCACCGTATCTCAATACACCGGTGATCACAAAAACGGTCTGAAAGCCGTGTAGGCTAGCAACAGTCAATAGTTTACCTCACCTTACAGTAGAATTTAACCTGAATAATGTTTATTCTAGTCAGTCTCGAAACCACATCCTAGGCCTAAGCTCGATCTCAATTTATGCTAGTGCGTAGTCCAACCACGGCAGGCATGTTACATTCCTCCCTAAGTCGTACCTGCCCTTATCGGAGTAAGATATTTTTGATACTATCGGCAAGCCTTCTTTACATAAACTGAGGATTTTACAATCGGCCTAATTTCGCTATCTTCGTTTCGCACTGTTTTGCAGTTTACTTAATTTGCCCTTCCGACGCTCCGATTCTAGATGCATATTGAAGCCTACCCTTCGATATACGCCAATTTCTCGGTCGCACGCACGGCTGTGGAAGGCCTAACCGTAGTTAGCGTTTTTTTCAATATGACGGATAACCAATCCGACTCCACTCTCTCCAAAATGGGCAACCTTTTATCGATGCTCGAGCAGGTCCAGCCTGCAGGCTCGAAAGCCAACGTGACTTCCTTCAAACCCGAGGTCCTTTTGCCCGAAAACAAGGAGTTCTTCCGCTACTTGGGTTCTCTCACTACACCACCTTGCACAGAGAATGTTCAGTGGACGGTAATGAGGCATCCCCTTAATGTGACCGAGGCAGATGTAAGTTTTGACTCCGTCTTCCTGCTCCTTCTGTGTGGTCACATTATGATAAGTGAGGTCGCAACCGTTTAAATTTTTGGCCTTAAACCCTGAATTCGGTAGATAGTTTACATGTAGGCGAATTAAACTGAATGTCTGTATTCCAAGTATACGTATAGCGAGGGAGGTATCTGTTTATTCATCTGCCTAGACCTTTGATGAAAACTCAGGTAATAGATACGTCGATCTGCCGCCGGCTTACAGAACCCAAGGCAATCAAATCCGGACTGCCGTTATGGACGTTTGATTTAAATATATACCAGCGACACTATTATATGTTTTTCTTGCCATTTGTACCCATGAAGATGAACTATAGCAAGTCATAAAAAGTCGGATTAATAAAAAAATGTTTTCAGCGACCAAATGGCTATCTGTCTCTTCAGTTTAAGTTAGGTGAATCGTTTGACACTTTGTCGCTTGATAGTAAATCGGAGCGGGGTTGTCACAGCACATTGGGAATTACTAAAAACAAGCAAAAAACGAAGTCAATCTTAGACTTATTCATCGTTCAACAACATGTAACTAGTATCAGAGCGGAGGATACGGGAAAAGCATAACTTATATTAGCGCTTATGAAGGAAGGAAGCATTAAGATCCACAAGTATCCTGTCGGGGTTTCTCTCATTCTGACTACAGCTACATTTATAGTAACTGCCTGGTACATGTCTGGTATGGGAACTTTTCTTGTTTCAGTTCCGTGCTCTCTTAACCGGTCCTTTTTGTTCCCTACACTCACAGCTGGAGAAGTTTCGATCCCTCCTATTTGGAGAGGGTGACGGCAAGACACCGATGCAAGATAATTTCCGCCCAGTGCAACCGCTGAATCCCGTGCGGGCAGTCCAACCGCGGGTGCTCTACAAGTCCTGGCCCTCGGCCTCACATCGCCTTGCAGCTGGTCTCTTCGTGATCACATTAGGTCTCACATTCATCGCGCTTTCAATTTAAAAGAAAGTTCTCAGTCGCAATCTACAATCACCTTTCTCCTGAATGGACAGTTGTGCGGTTGCAGTTCTCATGTAACCATGCTGGGATACATACGCGAACTTTATGCTGTTTTATAATGACCGCACTGTAAATTGCGCGTAATACTGAACACTTTATCTCCCAAAACTCACAGAGGGACTATTGTGAAATGTAATTCTACTTGTGTTGCCTTATTCACAGTTTCTTGCATGAACAGGCTTTATCTTCACCTACAACTTAAATTTACCTAAGTACCCCGATTTTTCACTTTGTCGAAATCTTCCGCTTTTTTCAAAATGTTTGCATGTCTAAACAACGTAAAATAAATTTAAAAAATGTAGTATGCCTCCTTTTTAAGAACACTCGTTTCTATGCTGCTGTAAGGCTCCTGGGGATGCAGCATGGACCTATTTTGCGCAGGAGGAATTTTCGTACCAAATTCATGAGCTGTCATCAGATAGGCAACTGACTGTGAAGTATTCGCTAAAAACCGTGCAACTTTCATAATTTCGTAAAAGTTTGATCATTACTCGACTACCAATGTGAATGCTTTTAGGAAAACTAAGAAATAATAATAACAGCATTGGACATACTTAAAACTCCAATGAAGTGTAAGAAGTACTAAGTGTTTGTTAAGAAAAATAAAGTTTTCCTGATAATCCCCAAGTTCCCTGGACGCAAAAAATAGCTACAATTTAGAACGATGAATTTTAATATTTTATTTATCTTAAAAGTTTACGTAACCACTTTCTTTATATAAAATAACTTTCCTTTAGTCAATTTTTTGGTACAGATTACCATTAGTGGATAGCTATTTATTGAATATCGTCGACTAGAGTGTGACATAATTTTCTTCGTTGTCATTGTCTTCATAGATAAATA